GGGGGCCATCATCGTCATCATCCTGTGGAGGCAGGTGTGGCAGAAGATGTTGCAGAAGGTAAGTGGCATGGCAAATGAAATTCAAATGGCAGAATTCATTACAATTAGAAGTCATTTGTTCCCTATTAGTCACGCGCGGTGTCCATAAACATTACCAATCCAGTTTGCACGTCATACTTTGTATACTGTATTTTCCGCAATAAAAGGCGCACTGAAAAGCCTTCCATTTTCTTAAAAGCTCACGGCACGCCTTAAAATCCGATGCACCTTGTGTATGGTCATTACGGTAATATGTCAACCCCAAAATGGCTCCTTGCCAGAGACATGCTTACAACGCAGAGTTCAAACCTAAGGCGATCGGTTACGCAGTTGAACACGGAAATAGAGCAGCAGGAGAGTTCAACGTTAACGAGTCAATGTTATAAATTGCTGTTGGTTCAGTGAACTGTGTCGCTGCTTTATTAAATAAGTTTTACTGACATTTGATCGTCGCTATATGAATCAGGGTGTAGTGTAGTGTTCTGTTGGCATTTCCTTCAGCGTAGCTCCGTCTAGTGGATGCATTGTAGGTTGCGTCTTATAATGCGGTGCGTCCAATATATGAAAAAAATGACAAAATAGGCGCCTGATGGTGCGCCTCATAATCCAGTGCGCCTTTCGTGTTGAAAAAACGGTATGAAGCATTCTCAACGTCTTTGAGTGCAAGGACGTGGGATTTTTTTTTTTCAACGACCGCCTCATCATCCTATTGACAATTCAACATACCTAGCATGTGTATCACTAACAGCAATAAACATTCAAAATTTGTCATCTTGAAAAATCAAATTGATAATTTTTCGAAAAGTAGTATGTGGGGAGCTCCATTTTTGTTCGGTGGTATTTGGCGTAAAAAAGCTTGAGAACCACTGTACTATACATGAGGGAAAGTCTGCCTTCTGTTGAGTCTCACAAGACACTGCCCGCTAACACACTATAAATAAGACGGAGTCAATTTTGTCAACACAGAGCGAGACCTTCGCCTACAGTCACAACCAGTCGAGCGGCGGCACCAGTGAACAAGAGTCCAGCTCCACCTACGAGCGCATCTTCCCGCTGGGCCCAGACTACCAGGAGCCCTCACGGCTTATATGCAAGCTGCCCGAGTTCGCACAGAACTCCGAGGAACCTGGTACATTGAAACACACCCGCACATCAAACAGAAACGTCAAAAACAGAAGTTGGCAACCTAAGGGATTTGCTCAGGACTGTGTAGAGATTTTCTATCCGCTGTATATGACATCCATCATCGCTGTGCTCTAGCTTCCAGCAGCACGGTGGCCCAAGACGGTGTGCCTCACTATGCTGAGGCTGACATCGTCGCCCTGCAGGGAGTGACCGGCAGCAACATGTATGCCATCCCGGCACTCGCCATGGACTTGCTCTCCGGGAAGGACATGGCGGTTGAGGAGTTCCCGAGGAAGCTGCTCACGTTCAAAGAGAAGCTGGGAGAGGGGCAATTCGGAGAGGTCGCCACTTGTCGCCAGAGTTTCAATTAGTGAGCCGGCAAAGTGCCAAATGATGAAATAGCTCGTCTTGTTCTTTCCCCGTTTTTAGGTGCACCTATGCGAGGCAGAGGGAATTCAGGAGTTTATGAATAAAGAATTTTTATTTGACGTGCCAGAAGAGGCGACAGTTTTAGTGGCGGTGAAGATGCTGCGGTCAGATGCCAGCAAAAATGCAAGGTATGGAATTGAAATGTTTCATTTGGAGCAACGTGTACCACTGAGCGGGAATTAAACACATGCTGCTTACATGGAAGTCAGTCAGGTCAAATTTAACGATCCTCACCTTTTTTTGCTGTTATCGTGACCAGTGTTCCGTCGAATCTAAAAGTATTGCTTTAGCGCCATCTTGTGGCATATTGCTATCAAGGAACAATGTTGAAGTGAGGGGAGGTGCTCTATTTAGACAGGCCATAGCTTTGTCTAATTAAAAAAGGAGTGTTTGGACACCATCTTGTGGCATCTATCGGGAAGCTTTTTAGGGCTGCTTCAGTCCCCTGCAGATTTTCATTACTCTGGCCGGGCATCAAATTCTTAAGCGGTTTATTTTCACATTGTATCATATTTTTTCATAAATTACTACGACACCCCCAGAGGATCAAAATGACCTGATAGGAAAACCTTTCCACACATGCATTAGATCACCGGTGTCAAACTCCGGTCCTCGAGGGCCACTATACTGCATGTTTTAAATGTTTCCCTCCTCCAACACGCTGGATTCAAATGATCAGCTCATCAGCAAGCTCAGCCGCAGTCCGATAACGATTCTGATCATTTGAATCGGGAGTGTTGGAAGAGGGAGACATTCTAAAACAGGCAGGTTAGTGGCCCTTGAGGACCGGAGTTTGACACCTGTGCATTAGATTATGCAGGCGTCCCTAATTATGTGACCCGTGATTGTTCACACTCTCACTGCGCCGTGCGTTTTTCTACGTCTTCCTTAGGAACGACTTCTTGAAAGAGATCAAGATCATGTCTCGCCTGAAGGACCCCAACATCGTTCGCCTGTTGGCCGTGTGCATCTACAGCGACCCCCTGTGCATGATCACAGAATACATGGAGAACGGAGACCTCAACCAGTTTTTGTCCCGCCATGAGCCAGAGGGACAGCTGGCGCTACTCAGCAACGCGGCTACAGTCAGGTAAACGCAGAGATAGTAAAAGTACTCGCACTCTGTACTTGGGTAGTCGGACAGATTGCCGTCTACTTGTGTGAATTAAAAAAAAAAAAAAAAGACCGATAAAAGTAGCATAAGATTTGACTTGTTTATTTAAGTGAAGATGACAGTGATACAGTAAATCGGCTACAGTGTTACAGTGTACCCATCTCTCAACTTATCATCTCCTGACAACAGTCATGCCAAAGATGCACAATATAAACTGAACATACAGTCATCACTTTCTGTAGGTGTAACAAGCAGGATTCCAGAGAATTTCACATTCAATATTCTTTAAAAACTGAACTAAAGTACTGCACTTTCTGATCACATTCTTCTTTCAAGTTTACAATGTCAAACATGATAATGTGCTCTACTGGCTGACAGCGGAATTAAATCTACTTTGCAAAATAAACAAGTAGCAGAACGAAATAATAACTCTACAAAAAAATTATCCATGAAAATAGCAGGACCACAGCCCTTCATGGATGTGAATTTACTGGAAGTAAAAAAGCAAAAATGTGCTCTTCCTGTCAATTATTTACAATCCGCTTTGATAACTTAGCACACATTATGAGTTTTCTCAACAATTTTTTTTTCTCCTTCCAACCTCCCATTCTTCCACTTTCTTCTCCCCAGTTTCGGCAACCTGTGCTACATGGCTGCCCAGATAGCGTCGGGCATGAAGTACCTCTCCTCGCTCAACTTTGTGCACCGCGACCTGGCCACGCGCAACTGCCTGGTGGGCAAGAACTTCACCATCAAAATTGCCGACTTCGGCATGAGCAGGAACCTGTACAGTGGCGACTACTACCGCATCCAAGGCCGAGCGGTGCTGCCCATCCGCTGGATGTCCTGGGAGAGCATTCTACTGGTGAGGGAGGACCAATCAAATTAGATCCCAAAGAGGAATAGCTCCTTCTGGCATCAAAACAATGTTTGTTCACACACAGGGGAAGTTCACCACAGCGAGCGACATGTGGGCCTTCGCGGTCACCCTGTGGGAGATTTTGAACTTCTGCAAGGAGCAGCCCTACTCGCAGCTCACTGACGAGCAAGTCATTGAAAACACGGGAGAATTCTTCAGAGATCAGAAAAGACAGGTGAGCACTGAGCATCATATTCTTCTGTCATTTCATTTTACTCCATGTATAAAACTTTGTATATGCAGCACCCGTTGTTTGAAAGTGCTCTTGAAATAAAGTTGAGTTGAGTTAAAGTAGACATTTACCAAAGCTCCCACTGGCGACTTTAACTTCATAAAATTTAGATTACATTATCAATCTTGGAGGCAGCATTTCATCCTCAAGCTGCCTAGTTACACTTGACATTTAGTATAACAGTGTGGCTCAAAATATACTTTAATGCCAGCTGGTAGCATTTTAAGGTATAGCAGAGCAACAAAGTCTCCAAGAGGCAACTTTGTGAATAGGGAACCGTGAATTGGCAAGGGTTCAATATATGCGTCGGTAGATGCTAATACTGGTAGCAAATGCTAATCTATACTGACACTCATTTTACGTTTTGCCTTTGACGAGATAATACTTCGGCCGCTCTTTGTCAAGCCAAGCTACAAAGCCATTGTCTCATGAATTTGGCATTGGGTAGATTATGTAAAATAGCTTCTCTGTTACATCACATCAAGGTTTGGAAGCACAGAACGGCTCACTAACAGGTACATTTTTAGAAATAGGCAGATAACTACAGATTCACTTGGCTGTTTACTTCACACTTTATGTGTGGGCATGCTCTCCACAGAACCAACTATTTGTTCACAAACAATAATTCCATTATTAATGTGTCCTCTTCTGTGTCTGATTTTCTCGCAGATCTACCTACCACAGCCTGTGCTGTGCCCGGACTCGCTCTACAAGGTCATGCTGGACTGCTGGAGGAGGAACGCCAAGGAAAGGCCGTCCTTTCAGGAAATACACCGAGTCCTCCTGCAAATACAACCATAGGCTCACTGCGACGTTTGAGGCAGATAACGACCGTGTGTGTCTGACGCGATCCAGGCTTAAGCTACTTGCGGGTGTCACCCCGTGTTAGCGTTTGGAGAACACTGTGCGGCGGACGTACATGCTACGGCCCGACCATAGACACTCGTCCACATATTCCTAGAACAAAACACAACACAATGTACGGTTGTGCCACTCCTGTTAAACTGTAGCAAGTGACATCCTGCACTTTTCATGTTGTACGTTGAAATATGAAGTTGAAATGTCACAGTTTAAGGTGACCAAAGACTTATTTTTGTGTGTGTTATTGTTCGGAAGACTGCTTGAATGTAGCGGGGCGGGGGACAATTGCAGCAGATTTCAAGTGTTTCATCTCAAGTCTCATCGTGGAGTAAGAAGGAAACGTCAATGTCTGTAACGTCTTTCTTCCTTTCTCACTTTGCTGTGTAAATGACGGTGTTTTTAACGTTTTAACTACCAGTATTTTGTACTCATATTTATATCTGTTGATTTTTGACTGTTTCTGTGTGATTGAGTTATTTGTGGATGAAAATGCGCCTGTCTTTCATATTGGGAGGACTTTCTTGGATGAGTGATCCAACCACAAGTGGGTGGATGGACAATGCAAGATGTGTCAGGAAGTAGAGCTGCTGGGATAGAGGTCTACGCGTTGCCATGGGAACGGGGGCTGAAAAGTGTGTTACCGGCGCTGAAAAGGGCCGTGCATGTGTGTTAAATGTTAAGATTTTAATAGGGTTAAGTGGGAGTAGATAAAGGTTTGTGTGTACAACATTGTAAACGGAAATGTCTTTATACTGTATGTGTTAACAAACGTTGTACACTTGATTTGTGAAATAAAACTTGGAATTTGATCCCAAATTAACTGTTGCTTCATTATTCTTATCTTTAAATGGCCTCACCCCACCTTATCTCTCTGAGCTCCTCCGTCCCTAGCACCTGTCCGGCGCCTCAGGTCTGCGGACCAGGCACTATGAGAGGTATTAAGAACTGGGTATTAAGAGCTGGTCCCTCTCTTTGGAATGACCTCCCACAGAACGTTCGGCTAGCCTCCTTGCTGCCCATCTTTAAAACTTGTGTTAAAACTCATTTTTCTTCATTGGCTTTTGACTCAGCATGAGACTTGAATTTTAGTTTGACTGTTTTTGTGCTTTCTAATGATTTTGTTATTAATTTGTTGTTTTATTATTTGCTGTTGTATTAGTTATTTTTGCTCCATGAACAGCACTTTGTACACAGCGGTGGTTGTTTTAAATTGCTCTTTCCATTCAGTTAAATTGAGTTTTCATGACGACATGGATTTGGGCGGTTCTTCCTCTTGGCCCGATCATGCTTGCGTGATCCTACTGGCTGGGGTGCTTCAGTCGCGTCCAATCACAGAACGGAAGAGGCGGGTCAAGCGTGTCTCTACGGCAAGTTCAAATGCAAAGAGCTTTCTGTGCAGAGAGAAGTACAGGAGTCGTGATAAATGTTTTGCTTCATTTACTTTGTTAGCAAGGCAGTGAAATGATAAATAAGGTTGTTTTGGTGACGGGAGCCAACAGGTAAAGTCATTTGGTTTCGAGTGACGTGGGGTGATGTGTGGTCGCACCATGGGGTTCACAAGAAGAAAAGTATATTTTTGTGTTAGCAGTAGTAGTGATTATAATCAGTATGGACGACACGTAATACGTTATGTACGATTCCATAAATACAAATAACTATAATGTTTGGTTTGTTGTTGTTTTTAACAATCCGGACAAGTTTTGGCTTACTTCCGCATCGTAGTGTGGAGAACTACGGTGGCCCAAAAGGGTCAAGTCTGTTGTCTCCCCCAAATTAGATTTACTTGGGGAGGAGGCATCATAACTTTACTAAGGTAAAATACAGGTCTGCAAAAAAAATTCTCAATCCTGTGGTAGAACTAAAAATACAGACTTTACATTTACGTTAAAGAAAACACAAAAAGTAGAATCAGAACGTACAAAATTAAATGTAATTTTTGCCTCGCTCATTTATATAAAGTGCTGTATATATTAAAAAGAATATCGTTTTCGATAACAATTTTTTGTTACTGAGAAGCAAAGAAAATCAGTGGACACCAATTTGCCTAAAGTTAACTTCTGACAGGATAATCAGAATTGTATTGACAACTGGTCCTGCATTCGCATACCAAAAAAATGAAAAATTAGGTAATGTAACAACTATAAAAACATATAGCTCCACTGTTTCTGTGCCAGAAGCTTGTGTTTCTTCATGAATTTGTCCAAGCTGGCAACATTTAATTAATGCATGAATAGGGAATATCTTGCTTTTCCAAAGCTGTTACCGTCATCAATGCTCCCTGTTTCAGCAGACAAATAAATGCAAACCACTCCACCAAACTACAGATCGCCAAAATATCTACTTAAGTACACTTACCGAGTATTTGTACTTCATTACTGTTTGTTTGGTTCCCTCCCGGCAGTGGCATCGGCCTGGCTCTCTGTGAGCGTCTCCTCGGTTCCCAGGATGCCGAGGGGCTCCACCTGTGTCTGGCCTGTCGGAACATGCGACGGGCTCACGCCGCTCGTTCAGCCCTGCTCGGCGCCCACCCCGCGGCCCAAGTGACGCTGCTGCAGATGGACACCAGCAGCATCAGCTCGGTGCTCAGTGCTGCACGGGAGCTCCAACTCAGGTGGAAGGATACACTCAAGATTTTCACTTCACTTATCTTGTATTTTTGGAATATTATTACATGGTGAGTTGACACCCATCAAATAGTCAAGCAAGTGCTGCTTTTCAGACGCTAATGCTAATTTGTCCATCGAACAATACTCAAGGCGGCTCTGTTTACCTTGCACAAAGTCACCGTGGCTTATTTAGACATATCTGGCATCTATTTTAGGTGTGGCTTTTTTTTTTTTTTTTTTTTTAATGAAAGTGGAATACACTCAGACACCACGATAAGGAAATTTGGTGTTCTATCCACATTCCACTGAGCATAGCATAGTACACTTGCCCATTTCATTGACATCCAAGTCGTCGCTAATCTCTCTATCGCTGTTTGCAGATGGCGCGCACACCACAGTCAAAATATTCAACTTTGGTTTTCTTTTTAAGGTTTAACCGGCTGGATTATGTCTACCTAAATGCGGGGATCATGCCAAACCCTCAGTTTGATCTCAAGGCTTTCTTCAGAGGCCTCTTTTCCAGGTACAGTGCACAAGCCTCCACAACTCTGTTTTCATTTTTCTAATCCCCCCCCCCCCAAAAAAAAAATTAATCAAAGTTTTGTGACAGCAACTCCTTATTTCCATTACTTCCACTGAGGGTGAATATTTTCTAAATCAACAGATAAGTAATCACTGTACTGTATTTGCTGTTTTTTTTTTTTTTAAATGCAGTAGTGTCATCACCATGTTTGCAACCGGTGAGGGCATCCTGACACAAAAGGATGGAGTCACTCCAGATGGCTTGCAGGAAGTATTCGCCACCAACCTCTTCGGCCACTTCCTCCTTGTGAGTCTGTCCGTCCTTTGCAGGCTAGAGTAGGAAAACATTGTTGACGTTGGTTTTCTGCAGAGGGAGCAACTCTTGAGGTCATTGTAGCAGAATGCAGGCTACACTGGATACCTCTGTCACTTGAGCAACAGTCCTCATTAAAAATGAATAGCTTTACTGTCCCAGATGTAAGGTCACGGGCAGAAGGTGGGTTACACCCTAAACTGGTTGCCAGCCAATCGCAGGGCACAAATAAAATTTTGTTCCGGGTAATTCATCAAATATTTCAAGGTAATAATTGGGTTCAAGGAAGTAAGTTGAAGTGATGCATGTTCACGATTCCGAGATCTTTGTGTGTTAGGGAGGAACAGAATTTAGCCTGGGTTGTTACTGGAAGTTAAGTAGAGTCTTTGCCATATGTGTATTAAAAAGCCAAATTACATTATCCTCTAGCCATTTTTAATTCTTAGATTAATGCTGTTAGATAAATTTGAATTAGGTTTATAATTTGGGGTATATTATTTTTAGTTCAAATCATTCATGTAGGCAATTCCAAACCGTTTGGAGGGAATAGAAATGACTAGAGTTTTTTTTTCTCTACTTTTCATCCAAAAGTAAGACGAATGTGCGTTTCCTTTTAGGTCAGGGAACTTGAGCCGCTTATTTGCCAACCCGGCCAGACCTCTCAGCTCATCTGGACGTCCTCCAGTAACGCTCGTCGCTCGGCTTTTAGCGTGGAAGACGTGCAGCACCGCAAGGGCAGCGAGCCGTACAGCTCATCCAAATATGCTTCCGACCTTCTGAGCTTGGCAATCAACACGCGCTACAACAAGCTGGTTAGTTGGAACCAAAAAAAAAAAAAAAAGGTCTTTCAACATTATTGTCCGCTAGCCTCGTTGAGTTTCTGTGTTGTGCTTGCAAAGCTGAGAGAAGACCAGGAAGATCATGCACATCTCAAATATTTGCTCTTGAAAATGCTGTGGAACAGAATCTGGAACTCAATTATGATGTGCCACTCAACGTCATTGACTTCTAAGAGTTTAACGGTCAGAAAGATCTTGATTTTATCAATGACGTGGCATTCTGAAAGCATCGTTTCAGAGAAATGGGATTACTCATGAAAAGCAACCAGGGGTGACAATTCTTCTAACAGTCCGCAAAGGCAAATCGTAAGCAGAGCTGCAGTGTTGCTGGCTGCAAAGAGTAGCGTTTATTCACAGTATTAACATCTCATAATGGCACATCAACACTTTTAACTGTTGTGCTCTCCAGGGATTGTATTCCTCCGTGATTTGTCCCGGCTTCGTGATGACCAACCTGACCTACGGCATCCTGCCTTCCTTCCCTGCATTCCTCTGGACCCTGCTCATGCCTCTCTTATGGCTGGTGAATTACATAAGAAGTATGTAACCGCTCGACTGATGTCGTTCACCCCAATGCACTTTTTCCCCTCATGTTATCAGATCAGAGTGTTCACCAACACTTTCACCCTGACACCCTACAACGGAGCTGAAGCTTTGGTAAGCCCAAGCGACATTCCGCATGCCCCGGGGACAATCATGGATTTGCGTTTCTTTTTGTAGGTTTGGCTTTTTAATCAAAAACCTGAAAGGTTGGACCCACGGGCCAAATATCACAGTTTAACATCTGTTCTCGGCCATAGTTACACACAGCCACGGCAGGTCAGCCCAATCACTCTTTCTACTTTTCGATGCGCATCAAATGATGTTGCACCTTTTTTTTTAATCCTCTTTCCAGATGGATGTCGACTTGGACACGTCACAGGCGCTCTATGACAAACTGCTGCGGCTGGAGCGGGAAGCCAAAAGGAAACCAATTGCATCTTAACAACAGCCGTTTGACTGCCGCCTCCTGCATATGAGATGTGTCAGAAAAGTTCTAGGACTGGTATCACAAAAGATATTTAAAATATGAACTACACTATTTTTTTTCGCCTTCAAAGTAATCTATACACACGTTCCCAGCCTTCCCTGCCGCTTCCATGCACTCCTAGAAGGATTCTTCCGCGATCCTCCACATCTCCATTGTCATGGCCAGCTCGATATCATTTACCCCTTCAAAAAACGAGCGCCCTTGTTGAACCCTGTGAGCTTGTGAAAGAGGGGGAAAAAAATTACGCAGAGCCAGGTCGGGTGAGTAGCAAGGTTTCTCCAGCATAGCGATTTTCTTCTCGTCAAGGAACTGTCAGATGCTCAGGGGATTGTGAGAGGGCTCTTTGGGTTTGAAACGTGTCTAGCAACAGTCCTGGAACTGGCTAATTTTCCACCTGCAGAATTAGTATCGGAGCCGAGATAACAGTTGTGTCAGGGTATTTTGCAATGCAAGCCTGTCGTTTTAACGCACACCACACCACACATAAAACGTTATCTGTCACTGACCAAACTCTCTGAGAAATATTGCATGTACTCGTCCCGACTGGAGGTGGAGGGTGGACCCAATCTGTTTCTTCCACTTGTTTGGATTCAGAAACCATTTTTCCCATAAAAAAATAGTCAAAGAGAACCGATCTGTTCCACGGAGCAACTGTCACCATCATAATCTTTATTTTTAATACAAGCAAAGTATAACTAATATATCCAAGCCTTTATTGCGCCAAGGCATATCCTGTATTAAAAAAATGCCAGAAAAACAATTTGTATTGACATAATCATGGCCTTGTTGCAATTTACACACTAATTGATTTACTCTGTGTTAAATCTAATCCAACACTATTATTCTGTTGTATGAATGAGAAAAGTTGATACGCAGGTTAATTGTACCTTCTGCCAACTAGTGGAATTGCATGAACTTGTTCGGCCTGTCACGAAACGTTGCTGGCATCGATAGATGAACAAATATACAGTACATTATTTGTAGTCAAATAATTTTTGGACCAGTTAAGTGAAATATGTTAATCTGACATACACTTGATGATCTATCACTGACTTAAAACACAGTAAGATTACAAACCTTCTAATATGAAGGTTATCGCACATTTCACGTTTTAACATTATTTGTCACACAAGTGTAAAAAAAAAAAAAGAAGCATTGTTCATTGCAAGAAACAATAAAACACTTCACTACCTTAACAAGTGACACAGGAGTCTCTCCTTGTGCATTATCTTCTCACTTCCTTTTCTTAACACTCCCTTGTCGGGCCTAAATGTCAAGAATAACATGTTTCTTTTCCTCCCTTGAAGATGCGTGGCACGTGAAGTTGTCAAATCCACGCGGCTCGGCACAAAGGGCTTCAGATTCCCACAGCAAGCTCTCGGTGTCGTCCCCAAAGCGTACATAGGTGCTGCGAGTGAGCTCATCTGCAGCGTGGGGCGATTCAAGCGGCTGCATCCCGGCATTCTCGCTCTGCCGCTCATCCACGCCACTGACTTTGGGGTTGGAAAAAGCCCACACCATGCCGCAAAAGTACAAGAAGAATGTCCCCATGACCAAAATCATAAGTGCATAGGACTCCATCATGGCCATGGTGACAACGGACGTCATGTGTGATGGGAATGCCGGGCTGCTCTGCGTTCAGGTGTTGCTGAGGCGGGTCTCTCTGTGGGCTGGACCAACGTTCACTGCATCTGTCTGTGCTGATAAGCTGCACTGGACTTGTTGGAAACATCTGTCATTGTGATGCAGTGCCGTTGTACACCAAGCACAATAATGAATAAATGATTAGATTTAAAACTCTCAAACTGTCAATCATTCACTAGAAGGCAGATTTTATGTTTGCCCTTTAATGGAATCTCATTCTATCCAAAATGTACAACAGAGAAAATGGATGCCGTCTCCAATGGATACACATCAGCTGAAAGGGTTTGACTTTCCTTATAAATGGCAACTCTCGAAATATTAATAGACCAATGGCTGCTTGGCATTTACACCTCTTTTGAGGTTCAAAAAATGCCTAATGACAAATGTAGAAGAACAAATAAATGGAATTAAAAAAAAAAGGTTGTATAAGGTTAGTAATTTACTGAATTTATTTTATATTTGAGTGTGTGTGTGATTTTTGAAAGAAAATGCAATGTTTGAAAGTATAATTTGTGTTTTTGTTTTTAAGTAAAAATATATTTAAAAACAAACAACAAAATGGTTTACATTATGAAGCGTTTACCACACTTTTGATTTGTGCGCTGTCGAAGATACAATCGTCACTTTGAGCATTACACAAGGCCAAGCGGGAATATTATCATTATTCATTTTGACACAAAGCAGGCAATAGTTGTGAATTAAAGAAATGACGAATTTCTTTAAAGACTCAAAAGGTGTTTTAAAGCGCGCGTGCGAGGCTTCTGCATGCGACCCACGCGAGCTAGTGTTGCATTCTGGGTAACGTAGTTTATACGGGCGTATGTCCCATAGCTTGGAGCCCCCAACGAACTACACGCCCCACCCGCACCTCTCCAACGAAGTCCCGTATGTCTATCGCGCCGGAAGAGAAGAAGCTCCTTTCCCCAGCCATCTTGTGGCTTCACCTAGCGAAGTGTTCGCATCAAACCTCGTAGAATCGGAGGAAAATCCTGCTGAAGGGGCGCCATCATGCCCGGACAAATGCAAGAAGGTTTTGGCATCGCCGTAACCAATCGATACGACCAATTATTGGACGATGAATCGGACCCGTTTGAGCTGATGAAGCAGGCTCAGGCTGAGGCGAAGAAGAAGAAGAAGGAGCCTGCCGCTCCCGGTGCCGCCAAGTCTGCAGCCCAGGCGGCCAAACAGCCTAAAAAGGAGTCTCAAAAAGACAGAAAAACCCCGTTGACCGACAAAAAGGCGGAGCCCCAGGCTCCTGTCCCGCTCAAGAAAGATGGTGAGCACGTTTTCTGTCTTCTGTTTGAGGATGTTGGGGCATGCTAAAAGCTAACGTTGTAGCAAGGTGCATAAAGCTTCCGCGAGGTCAGGTCCGCGTGACTGTTGGGTGTCTGCTCCCCTTCTCTGTGGTTTCTCGAACCCGTGTAAAAATGTTAGCGCCTTGCAAGACGCCAAACTCCGAATAACCTTCTGGAAGACCGCACTTTGTTTTGGTTCGAGGCCCTCGCTGACGGTCCAGGCCTTGTGTGAATATGACGTTCGAATGCACTTTTGACGTCATATGTTAACACCAAATGCACTTCGAGGACGAGGAAACCATACCGCAGAAATTAAATGTCACGCACGCCCATGTTGAATAAATAAATAAGCGTGCACTTCTGCATTGTCAACAGACTCTAAACAGGCGCGCGCACATGCTTTCTTCAAAGCAGCACTTCCTTGCTTTCGCACTAGCATCATGCTAACCGCTCTCCTCCCACACTCACGCTCGAAAGCAATCTCGAAAAATTGCGCTTTTGGATGTACTTGCGTGCTTACGCTTGGCCGTGATCAGCACGTGTTGTGTACTAGTGTGGGGTCAAGTGATCTAGTTGGTGGAGAGATGATATGAGACAGGTGCACCCCCTCCGTGTTGCACACAGCTGCTAGATGCTTCTATTTCGGTATACAGGGCAAGTGAAGCAATGTCTCCACCATGTGTCGGCCGATGGCGGCCATGTGCTGCCAAAGGTTATTAGCCATGATGAGAATGGTGGTGGTAGTAGTAATACGGTGCAGCTGCATAGTGTGCAGGACCCACATTCGTGTTTACATAATATTAGCCCCACGGACTGCCGTGTGTTTTGCTCAAGGGGCTTAGCCCACTGCCGTTCGGGCAGCGAAAGTGGGTGTGGGGTTTGAAAGTTCGGGCAGTCACAGGCCGCATTCCAAACCATTCATCCAATGCTGCCTCAGCTAATAATTGACAGTGCTTGTAATCGCTTGTAGTCAGTTAAGTCAATTGTCCTAAAACGTGCTGCGGAAATGAAAGTAGGGAGTCCCGATCAATGTATTTTTTTTTGAGGGGGGGGGGAGTCCGAGTCTTTGATTTTAAGTATCTGCTAATACTGAATCGAGATCCAATTTTCGCTGTTCATGGCCTGGTTCCTCTTCCCTGCATATAGCAAAGGTCAACTGTAAATATATTGTTAACCTCTATGTTTAAAACAAAACAAAAAAAAAAAACGACTTCCCTTTTTTGTTTCCTGACTGCAGTGTGTGACACGATGTGTTTATTGTGGCTTGGGTTGCATGAATAAAGGAGATTTTCTATGAATAAGAGAGTGTGGGTTCCCCATAAAAATTTGCTAATGCGTTTTGTGGATTCGCTGTAATCTTAGCTCATGCTTGAATTAATGCTGTAATTAACACCTATAATTGTACAGCTAGTCATTTCACGAGCATAAATTGTGATTTAAATATTTTGTAATCAAGTAAAATTAGAATTTGACGGCCAGCCGTAGTCGCAGCAACTGATAGTGTATGTTTGCCCTAGTTTGATTTGCTGTTGTACAAGTGGTGGGTTATTCAGTCTATTCACAACCAATTTCAGTAAAACTACTTTTACTTACTTACGTGTGTAGTTGAGAAGGGTGGGGACCATTTTTCCGATGGGTCCATTTCACGATTCTACATTTATGAAAATACTGACTCTAGATGTATTGTATTCTCATTCATTTCACGTAAATGCCAAAAGATTTCATAAATTTCAAATTATACCCAAAGACACAGTCACAGTGACCGGTTGCAAGTACTCCACCCAGTTTGATGCTGTCACGCAGGTATTTCATTAGCATGAATAGTTTGCAGTGCACTTGAAATGTGATAAATATTGTCATAAGCAATAGCTTAGACTCAAGAGGAGTATGTCAACTACTAATCAGAACCACTTTGGCGCCTGAAATTGACTTTGAATAAAGAGTTTTGGTTGGATTGACAACACTTGTCACACCGGTATTCAGTTAGCGTCAATCATTTGTGGAGCATTTCAAGTCACTGTGCCTTCAAAGATATGGAAATATTTCCGACATGTTTTCATACATTTAAGTGGGGGCTAATTATTCAAAGCTGAGCTGTGGTTCCAACACGTTTCACTTGCAGTCATGGTTTGAATTTCAAGCCGTTTGACTTCTCAGGCATCATCTTCTCGGGACAAAAATCAATTTGCCTTTTGGGGGTGTTTGGCTGCAGCGGTTCCGCTTGTATTAATCGGTTTTTGCGTTTGTCAACATGTCATCCTGCAGGCCCCGGCATGAGGAGAATGGGCCGCAAGCCAGAGGGCGAAGGCCCGAGACCCCAGGGTGGCCAGCAGGGAGAGGGACGCCCACCCGCAGACAGGCGGCCGACAGAAAGGCGGCCCCCCGCTCGCCGCTTCGAGAGGCCGCCCGGCGAGCCTGGCGACAAGCCCGAGGGAGGCGAATTCTCAGTGGAGAAGTGAGTTTTCCTCCGTTGTCGCGCAACACGTCTGGACCAGCGGGCAGTCGATGATTGTTGTTGTTGGCGCCCTTCAGGCCCATCGGCGACAGGCCGATGAGGGGCCGCGGTGGCGGCAGGGGCTTCCGTGGAGGCAGAGGGCGCGGCATGGGTCGCAGCGACGGCTTTGACTCCAGAGGGAAACGGGAATTTGACAGGCACAGTGGCAGCGACCGATCGTAAGTACTCCTTCCTTTCTCCGCCTCCCTTTGAGATTCAATCAAAGAGGCGCTGAGTTAATTTGTAAACTTTAATAGTTCTTTTATGCACTTAGAGTAATTCACAACAATGTCAATTAATTGAAAGGCCTACATCATGCTCTTTTAAAGCTTTCGACTCTTAACAATACAGGTGCGTGTGCGCGCGTGATTACAAATTTGCCATAATGGTGATCAGTTTCTTATGAAATATGAGTTATTCTGGTGGCTATATTTCAAACCAAGAATCATGGCACCTGGCTCATTCAAACCCCGCCTCTCTGTTTGGCTGCCACGCCCCTTTCACGACATCGAAGCTGGTGCTAAGAGAGCTGAAATGGGTGAATGGAGAAAAATGCCACTTGGGGGGGGTGTTTTGTTTAAGAATTAGAAAAAATATTTTGGAGATGTGAGACGGTGCTCCTCGATCTCTGAATTTCGTGGCGACATCTACTAAATGGAGGCATGTCATCCCCCGCATATGTAATGAACCGTCTGTGTTTGATGAATCACGACTGTCATCACAGATGTCTGGTTCGTGTTTCAAGTGGGGCTGAATTAAAATCAAATATAAAACTGACACTCCTACTACAACTTCGCGGATTCAATGACAATAGAGAGTAGTAGTCTCCAAGACCCTTTTTTTTAAATCCGATTAGTCATTTGTTGAATGATGAATTCTTAGCCTTCAATAGCTCTGCCACAATTCGATGTGGCACTTATTACACCAGGACGCCGAAGCTGTTCAGCCTAAATGATTCTGTGCTGAAGCAGCAATATTCATGAATTTTAAAACATACTGCTTGTTTCTCGTAAGGTGCCAAATTATACACAGTGGTACCTCTACTTACGAAATTAATTGGTTCTGGAAGAAATTTCTTCACGAGTAGAGACGCCTTTTCCATGTAAATTTTCTAATTCGTTCCAAGCATCCCCAAAATTCTGCCATGAATGTTTCCTAAAGCATAAAAATACATCCAAATATGTAACAAATACATGTTACGATTTGATTATTGCACAATAAATGAGATTTGTGCATAATGTAAAAAAACAGAATAAAAATGGTTGTCATTTAACTTTTAACTACGTCCTCATCGTTTGTTGCCCTCTTTAGTTCACGTTCTCTCTCAGAAGTGCTTTTTGCCCGGCGTTTTGTAAAGAACTGGTCCAAGGACGTTTGCTTTTGTCGGCTTTTAACAATCCTTCGAAAATGTCTAAGGCAACCATCAGCATAGTGAGTGATCGCCCGACGGGTGAACGCTTTTTTTGGGTGATTCACATTTACGGAAAACTATCGGCACGCCTCATGGCCTGAGGGGCGAATGATGAGGATGCTGCATCGACACATCTATCTACACACACATAGACACGTACGGTAGAGGTCCCTCTTGGCCAATAGGATGCCAGGATGATGCTCAGTAATAGCCAATGGCAGAGCAGCTATAAGTATGGTAAATGATTTGGTCATGAAAAGCGTTATCTTTGTAGACAATGCTGTTGCCTGCCAGGTGGAGTCCTCACCTACATGCTACATCGGTTCCCATGTCGAGATGGTGGCTAATAGAAATGTTTTCTTTTCTCCAGCGGTCTGAAAGGCGAAGAGAAGCGAGGTGGAAGTGGATCTCACAACTGGGGCACAGTCAAGGATGAACTCAAGTAAGTCAGACACCCTCCAACATGAACGACGGCGTGATGAACATGCATCGCAGAATCGGCCGAAATGCTTGTTCATTCCAATTACTGGCAAGCTTGCACATTTGGCACTCCAAAGAGATCGAATCTGACCTGCCAATGCTGCGATGGGAAAGGCCGACATGTCACTCTACAGAACAATGGCCTTTTTGTGTTAGCTCGGGCCAACATGAGGATGCAGATGGCAAGTTGGCGGACCTCATCACAGGAAACCCTGTCAACTTCCAACCGCTGCTTTAATTAATTGAACACAGGGGCCCTGTCATGAATTGATCTGGGCCCTCAGAATCTGTCACACTTTTCCCCATTCTGCTGCCCCATGGGAAGGGATGATATATTTCCAAACAACTGCTGTGTGAGGCAATTCTTGCGTCTTCAAATGAGGTACAGCCTGAAACAATCTCTTTCCATTTTCAGCGGAGCGGGTAATTAAGGTTTTAGCAAAGATATTGGCGTATAACCTGATACAAAAGTTAAAAATTAGATTTTTTATTATTCAAAGTAGCATCGTTATTGATTTCTATGTGACAGAAACTATGACATATTTTTTTCAGTTCTTTACAACCTATTCATTTTTCAAATGGTGCATAGTAATTTCAAACAATTTCCGTTGTGGTCTTATCAAATTATGCATTGTGCAAGCTAATATACAATCAGGTCCATAAATGTTGGGATGTCAACACAATTCTCCTTTTGGGCCCGTACCGATTTTTGCTTTTTAATTAATCAATTTATTTATTTTGTGTGGGGTTCTTAAAATTCAGATAATTCGTTGGCTACTCAATTTAAAAAATACATCTCTCTCTCTCTCTCTCTCTCTCTCTCTCTCTCTCTCTCTATAGATAGAAACATCTCTATAGATAGATGTGTGTCTGTGCTGATTTTAAAAAACTAATACTGACCAGTTACATCGGCCGGCTGATTAATGGGGCATATGTTCAACTTTCATTTTGGGATATTTAAATTCATATCAGGTGAATATGTGTAGCAATCACAACAAGTTTGCATGTGTGCCTCTCCCTATTCAAGGGGCCAAAAGTGGACATTTTGTCTGATGTTGAAACTTGATCACCTTTTGGGTGCGTTCCAAAAAATCGAATCGCGTTTTCCTCTCCGCAGTGAACTCGACCAGTCAAATGCCACAGAGGAGAACCCCGAAGGCGAGGAGCATCCACCCGCCGACTCCGAGAATAAGTAACTTGATCTTGTCCTTCGCGCGCCGTAACTGCTTGAGCCGCCGCGATGGGCACTCACGGCGCGCCTCTCGTGTCTTTGTTGAAGGGAGAATGAGGTGGAGGAGGTGAAGGAGGAAGGCCCCAAAGAGATGACGTTGGACGAGTGGAAGGCCATGCAGGACAAGGACCGCGCCAAGGTGGAGTTCAACATCCGCAAGGCCAACGAGGGCGCCGACTGGAACAAAGGATTTGTGCTGCACAAGTCCAAGGCCGAAGTGAGTTGGAATACAGTTTTGTGAAATTCTCCCTGCTGCTTTGCCCTTTTTTAACATCACAAGAATGTATCGCCTGCCTCATTCGGAGGTGGTGCTGGCTTCATGGTAGGAAAATCAAACCTTGCCTTTTTATAAAACCGGTAAACCATCAAACCGGTAATCGGCCCATGCCTAATTTCCACATTAAATTCTTTGTCTTACATTAAATGGCTCCCTTAAACCTGCAGATTAAAAACAAAATATTCTCACTTGTTTAATCCATCAACTGATTTTTTTTCCACTGCTCATGTCCTGTTCAGGGCTGCAGGAGCAATTTTATTGCATGATATTGGCCTACGTTGGTCGTTGCTGGGTACACAGGTAAACAGCCCCTTTTGAATCAGTCAGCTCAGTCATTAGCTCAAAGCTAACCCTTCGAGAAAGCAGATGGTGAAAAGAAGAAAAAAAAAGATGACGAGTGTGGTACACTTCAGGACAAATGTACCGAAGAATTCGCCTTTGTGGCGAGAACAGGTTCTGCGGTGTGTCGAATTTGCCATGACAAAATTGCAGTGATGAACCGGTTGAAAAGTAAAGCGGCACTTTGACACGTGCCATGCTACGTGCGCATCAAAATACCCTGCGGGAGATAGAAAGAAAGGAAGCGTGCAAGCTACTGAGCAGGTTGCAAGCTAGCCAGCAGCAACTGGACCTGGCAAGATGACTATAATTCCGCTATGTTTGCTAGCAATCGTGAGGAATGGCAAACCATTCAAATTAATGGTGAGTATTATCACGAAATTAATTCAAAGAATAAATTCAGAGGCTTATTACACTTATATTTTGTTGAATTCACCTTTAAAATACTCACTGAAATACATTTCCAAATATTTTGCTTTCATGGCTCTCTTAGTCCAAAGGGTTCCCGACCCCTGCTTTAACTCTACGTTTTGTCGCTAATAATTTGGAGAGTGAAAAAAAGAAACCTACACATTTTCAACCACTCTTTCATACATGTAAATGTGCACAAACTAGCCAAACTAAACTGATGGGTTTTTTTTTTGTTTTGATTTTGCTTTCGAGGCACTTCAAACTGTTGAGTTCTAATTTGAATTTCAAACAGTTTAAACCGTTTTCTAATTGACTGCCTCTTCCTCCCTCGCGCAGGGTAAAAAGGATGACCTGATCGACCCAGAGGCGTTTGAGTCTAAGGTGAGCTCCTTGCGCGTACGCCACACATTCCGACGCCGCAAAGGACTACGCAAGTGACTTCCCGTCTCGCTCGCCTTTTAAGATGGAGGAAGAGCCCCACTTCCGCAAGCCGGCCAACGACATCACGTCCCAGCTGGAAATCAACTTCGGGGACCTCGGGCGGACGGGCCGCGGACGTTCGGGGACACCCCGAGGCCGTCCCGCGGAGGAAGAGCCGAGAAGGTAAAAATCCGCAGTGATGAACGTCGGGGCTGAACAAGGAATCCGAATTCAAATCAACATTGCGGTGTAGTCGAGTGCAATTTTCAAATCGCAATTTGAGTGCGTTGGGTCGGCAGGTGGACAACTAGCTCGACTCAACGGTATTTATAGAGCGGTGTTTTTAGAAAATAGCCGGAAAGAGGACCCTGAAAACAATTGTTGATGAAGTTCAATCGTAATATTGAGGGGGAAGAAAAAAAACTAACACACGGTATGTATCTCCACCTCCCTCTCCAGTCGACCGCTATGGTGCCCAACGTGGACGACCCCGAGGCCTTCCCAGCCCTGGCCTGAGAGCCTTGGCTACACTTTGAGGGAGGTGGGGGGGAAGCGCCACAGGAAGCCTCCCCCGCCCCGTCCCTGAGCACCTCCACTACGAGGCTTGCATGTTCCTGGATCCTTCAGCTAAGTAAAAACGACGGAACACCGTCATGAACTGTGGCACTCAATGTGAGGACTGCGTTTTAACCAATAAAAAACAAAACCGATGGGGGGAGGGGGAAAAAAAGAAATTAAGAAAAAAAACTCAAAAAAAGAAAATGGACTTCTTGCTACTCCGGAGCAGCTTATTGGTAGAGGTTTTTGTACTTGGAAATAAAGTAGCAGGGATGCTTTCATACAGTATTTTTTTCAGAGGTTATGCATTTGTCCGTTGATAGAATCTTTTGTAATTGTTGCTTAAGAAAATACACATTTGGAAAACAGTTAAGCATCGTTTTTGATGTGCACCGCTGCCCGTTCGCCGGTGGTCCTTCTGTTACGGCTGCATTCATTGAGATTGGTCTTGTTGTTTTTATTTTTTTTGCTTCAGCACTGGAATATTATTTTGTATTTTCTACCACAGGAAGGTCGACATTCTTGAAACTAAAGACCTGTAAAAGTTTTCATAAAGTCTTTGGAATTGATTTATTTGATCGCGCTGCAAACGGGATGTCTCTTTGGTGACGAGGCTTTGTTTTGTATGGCAACATTTTTGGGGGGAACTCGATTTTATTTTTATTTTTTAAACTAAAATAGCGCAACTTTTATTTTTTTTTCCCCCCCTGGTAAATTCATTGGAAGCCATCTCATCGGCTTCGTTTGAGATTCTTTTTTTGGTGGAGGTGGCGGGTAGGAAGCGTCTTCGACCCGCTATTATTTACACACTCCGCTTCAGTCCGTCTCTGCAGTCTGTCCTGCGCGGGGCCGGTACGGTTTCGTTGGCCGCAGCAGCCCGCAACACCGCCACTCGCATAATCGCTCTGAAAGAAATAGCAGCTGTCCTTCATTGTGTGGAACAACTGACGTGCTCCTGCAAATGTGTGAATTCCTGCCCTGCTATTGGAGACCTCTGTCGGTAAATAAAGATGGTCGGTAAATTGTTTGCACTGTCCTTTTTGTACCCCCCTAAAAACATGTAAAGCTTCAAATATCCGGAGGGAAAAATGCTTGAGGAAAGTGTTTTTTTTCCACGCTTTCAATACATGTGCTGTATCACACTAATCTGGATCAACAAGATTCCAAATGTCATAAGCAATAGATGTGCCCTGTAATGTGTGTGCCAGGTTTTCTGGCAACCCTTCATCTTAAAAGGGTTTTGCAGTTAGCAAAAAAAAAAATATACGGGGGGGTTTCTCTACCTCCTAATGTGTTTCCCGGAGCTCATTTTTTTAAACAACTGAAAATGTAATACCACACCTGTCAAATTAACCAAAAATCTGTTTTTTTTCCACGCTTTCAATACATGTGCTGTATCACACTAATCTGGATCAACAAGATTCCAAATGTCATAAGCAATAGATGTGCCCTGTAATGTGTGTGCCAGGTTTTCTGGCAACCCTTCATCTTAAAAGGGTTTTGCAGTTAGCAAAAAAAAAATATACGGGGGGGTTTCTCTACCTCCTAATGTGTTTCCCGGAGCTCATTTTTTTAAACAACTGAAAATGTAATACCACACCTGTCAAATTAACCAAAAATCTTCACCACAGGGAAGTGGAACTGTTGCCATTTCTGGGATGGGACTGTGGAAAGTTTCCTGGAACAAAAAGCTATTATTTAGCAATTTAAAACATTTTGGAATTGGTCAAAGATAACATATTTGAGAGTGAAAATCTGTGTATAATTGACAGCTGTTGAAATGCATTTGATTTTTTTCTTCTCACCCAAACGATTTTTAAAAAATGCCGATAAAACTTGTGTTTTCCCTAAATCCTCCGCCCCAAAAATAAAGGCAGAAGATCCGTTCTGTGCCCCTGGTTTGTTTTTCCGACATTACCTGGCATTCCAGAACTTAAAATTTGGTGGTTTAGCAACTGGAAAATGTTTATAATTACCTACAGATGCTACTGTTAAAATTCAGAGGAATTGACATCAGGGGAAAATGTTTGACATTTCTCAGCCGGCCGGTTGTGTGCCTCTAGTTCATGTGTGGAAAGTTCCCCAGGAAAACGAGACCTAAAACGTGTCTGTGCACCTGTCGAACTTGGAATAATTGGACCCTAAGGAAAATGTATTTTTTATTTTTCCCCATTTCTGTACCCCTGGTTTCTGCGGAAACATTTTCGACAAAGCAGGACAAAAGGTTTGGTGTTTTCATTACATGAAGAATGTTAACCATTTGTGGCAACACTCCATGACTTTTAAAATTTACACTGAGGATATGCATTTAAGAGGGCTTTTTCATGCAATCCAAGGCAAGGACAGGAAGCTGTTGAACGGAGTCCAAAATGCTCTCTGTGATTATCATGTCAAGCAAATGGAAGACAGACGTACAAGCAGGTCTATTCATCATGCGTGTCGTCATGTGCCCACATGGACAGAAGGGGCCGGGACATCTGCTGCGTGACACACCAGATTGACTCCGAGCCTTGAGGGGCTCGGGCTGTGGCCCACCACCACCGTTCTCTGCCACCTCTGTGTGATGGAGTGGTGAACACTTTTTGATCAATTGGAGTCTTCGATGAATATAACAATCATGTTTTTGGAATAAGGGAAGAGCACAGGGAGTTGTAAGAAATTGAACCCCACTTGAAAAATACTGAACTGGAATATTTCCTTGTCAGCCGGTTGTAACCATTGCAAGTTGACACACAAAAAAAAAAAGTCAATGGGAAAGGTAAAATGTTTTTGCAGAGATATATTTATCATAAAGTAAAATTAAAATATATGCGTAATATTTTTTAATTGGGTTAGCATATCTAAGATGTTCATCTTTGCCTGTTAGTGCAACGTTTATTTTTTTTAAAGCCACGTTGTGCAGTGCAGTGTTGTTCAGGGGGTGGGGGTGGGGGGTCAGTTTGTGCGCGGTGATGGTGCGTGACGTCACGATCTTCCAGCATTAGGCGGCAGCAGCGGCAGAAAACCAGGATCGCGCATCTTCCTCCTCCTCTTCTCACTTGAGCCACCACCACTACCGACACCGGCTGTCCCTTTCGCCTCGCCGTCCACAAGGCTCTCTGCTCCGGCCGCCAACATGCGCTCCTCTTCGGCCCTGCTCACGATGCTCCTGGCGGGTCTCGCGGTCGCCGCGTCCTCCCTGGAGGTGTTCGACAACCAGCTGGGCGACATCAGCTTCTGCAAGAAGCAATGCCAGCTCGCCATCAAAAACAAAGGCCCCGCAAATGTAAGCCATCGTTATAATGCAAAAGACCGCACGATTGATTGTGCAGCAAAACAGATACAATGTCCGTCTTGTGAATGCATTTTAGGAATCATTTAGCGCGTTTGTTTGTGTGTGTGCCCGCGTGTGTGTGTCTGTGCGCTCGTTGTTTTTTTTGCGCAGCGTCATCCTGCTCAGGCCGAAAATCAGTCGAACATTGCGGGTGAAAGCGTATCCGAGAACCCGTTCGTGGCACGGCTCACAAAAGGTTTTGCAGCATTGATTTGTTTTTCTTTTTCTTCCATCGCCCCAACCCTCAGGTGTGGCCCTGCATCTTGCAACCCGACAAAGGGCCCCAAAGTCACACCGTCCACAAAACCTGGACAATTTGAGGATATTAATAGTTCAATAATTAATCGCGATTTGAACCGTGATGTTGTTTGGTATTGTCGGTAAACGCGGAAATGCTGTAGAGAAGATGACAAAGCTGTTATGAGAGCTGCATGCATGTCGAGCTCGTGTTGGCCACCAGAGGGCACCATTTCTTATCAGATTCGAGATTACATTGTCAGGCGTTTTAGTCGATTTTTCTTTTTAAAACTTTTAATAACAAATCGTACCAGATTTTAGCAAGTAATAATCTGCCTCATCGTTTGCCCTCAGGTTGCCATCTCGCAAGAGTTTACCGTACTGTTGGTTAAACACGTTCGCGTTTTAGCAAGGCGAACTCTTGGCATTTTCGCTTTTGATTCGGAATATTAGCAAATTTGACTACAGCACACCATGTCAAATCCTCATCTAGTTGCCTTTTCGTTATAAATAGTACTAGACGCAAGCTATACAATCCATAGAAATGTGCTTTAGTGTCTTTGGTTGCTATCTTGCTATATGTTAGCATACCATGTACAGGGCACATTATAAAATCATTTGCAATCTGCCGTGGTGCTTTTTGACGACAGGACATAACACAAAACCTTAGCACATTTTGTACTTTTAGCATAGCAGCTGTATTCTAGCTATCTCATTTGGGTTAAAAATTTTTTTTTTAAAAAAAATATCCACAGGTGCTTCTAATCCACTCTTTGGGAGCCCATTTACTTGCCAGTTGATTAGGAACCTCTGTGGCTAAAGCCAAACTGTGGAAATATATATATATATTTTTTATGGACCTGGATTTGACACCTGTTTGTAGACAGACTGAAAATCTTGATTTACTCCTCAGTGTTATCTCCAATGCAGTAAATGTACATTATTTATGTGACAACTAACACACGGTCATCTTGTAGGACTCCATAATGAACGCCTGTCACCGCGGCTGTCGTCTCTACTCCATCTGCCAGTTTGTCAACGGCAACGCTGGCTTTAACACCAGCAAGGATGAGTGTCAAGGAGGTGAGAGGCTCCATCTGCGGCTCTCGCTTTGACTCGAGGGACTTGTTACTGGGGAAGTACGCTTTGGTTGCCCTTTACAGGGCACAAAGCCGTCCCTTTGAATTTTACAGTGGGGGGGAATGTCTAAGTTGGTTTACCTTGGAGTGCAATGATGTAAAAGAGTCAAGAGCAATATTTTGATTGCCTTGATTTCCTTTATTGCATTTTGGATTTATGAAAAGAATGTTTTGGATATATTATTTGTTTGCATTTATTGGGCACCATTTTGCTTTTGGCAATGTTTAGCGCAATTGACTCCTGTGACTGTCGCTGGCTTCCTTTCTTCCTAATGCAAAACAATGTGAAAATGATTCCCCTCTTTTTGTCTGTTTCATAGTGTAAATTGAACTCGCTTGTTGCATCAAATGGAAAAAAAAAACTTTTAACGAAATAAAATGAGAATGCTTTTAAAATAAATGACAGAACTGAAGCTACATTTTATGTTTATGAAACTAACTAAAAGTCACTATCAATCTACCAAAAATCTTGAATTAAGAAATAAACGAGCTTTCAGGGTTCATTTTAAATGTATTTATTTCGGTATTACTGGACTGACATTCAAGAAGGAAGGAGGAATAGTTGTGTGGGAATTGTAGTTTCCTTGCTTTATTTCACAGGCTTGACTTGACGTCGTGTCTTTTTTTTACTTTTTATCTTGCACTCCATATATGTTAAAATATATATAAAACAAATCTAAACTAAAACAAAGCACTTTTGAAAAAAAAGGTATCATGACAAATCCCAAACTATTCCATCTCTGCTGCAGCCATGTTATTTGTGTAAGCAGTGCACATCAGCACACTCTCCTGTGTGTCCACAGCATGCCAGGAGGCTTACGTCAAACTCATGGAACAAGACGCGTGCAGCACCGGCTGCGCTAGCCAGCCCTCCGAACCCGAAATCCAAAGGAGGAAGGTGAGCAAATACACACACACACACACACACACACACACACACACACAAAGGGACACACGCAATGACAAGAGATTTTCTCCGCAGCTCAAGGCCATGACCCTGCGCCCCAAGCCGCCTTCCGTCATGGAGGCCGTGTCTAGCTGGTGCAACGACATTGTCAGCTCCGCCCAGAGCTTCATCTCCTCCACTTGGACCTTCTACCTGCAGGCCGACGATGGCAAGGTCGTCGTTTTCCAGGTAACTTTTGCCTATTATTTTATATTCGATTAAGCTACACAGTGAATCTTCGCTCCAGAATGGCAAGCATTTGTATTAATGTGTACAGATCACTCCAGACGTGCTTTGCTAGTTAAACAGTTTAGCTCTTTCCAATTATAACGACCAGCTTGCAAATGTCACATGACCAAACACAGAAAACAACTGAGCCGTGACTGGTTGTTGCCTGAGCAACTGTGATATCATTTTCAGTCGCCAGCAAATGGAAAAATGGCCGCCAATTAAGATCAATAAAAACGCTGCTTAATTCCACAAATGCATTATTAAGTAGAATGATGTGTGTGACTTGTCTGGGATGCATAGAAATTTTGGGGTGTTACCTTCTCCTTTAAGGGGTGTGGTCTAGTGAGGAGCTGTGACCTCATCTCCAGTTGGCGATTTACCACGTGTTAGCTTCTCGATGCTTCTTGGTGTTTTATCAGGGCCAAAAGGGCTCATTTTGGATTCGGCGGGTTTGTGAAGGTCGGGCGAGCGTGAAGGACGGCGCGTTTTCTCGGACAAAATCACAGCTCGTTAAAAGTTATTTTAAGCGACGCCACTTCCTTTTGGCATTGTGAATATTCCCACTTGGGAAAACCTCATCCCCTCTTCTGCCATGAAATCCCTTATTTTTCTATCATCGGATCTAAATGTGGAACAACAAAAAACATATACTATGTTTGTATTCGTGAATCTAAAGTTAAGCGTTTATACATAGTAAAGGTGCAGAGAGACAGCAAAAATAAAATGGGATCAGTCTCGCCCGTCGACCGCAACGTCCGAACTCCAGAACTGCAGAATGCAATTTGGGCTGCGTAATGAAAGGACCCTGAGGAAATTGACAGTGTTTATCCACACTTGATGATATGTTGAAGCGCAGCCTGCAATGCAAAAGGAGAAACTTGACATTACCTCATACAGAGGCGCAGACACCGCAGGTTTTTTTTTTTCCTGTTTTTCTTCATTTGTCGACTATGATGAATGTTTGCTTTTTGTGGTGCTGACATGTCGGTTGAAGCAGAAGTAGGACGTAAGGCTCCAGAGCACCTTTTGTAGTGTGATGACTGCTTGTGGCGGTAGTGTGACAGTGAGTTTCACTGGGAACCACTAAGAGTTGTCATTTCAGTTTTCGGGGTGTACCTAAATTCTCTTTAAAAACAAAAAAAAAACAAAAAAAAACCCAGGTATGACTCAGCATCCATGGATTCATCTATATGCAGATTTTTACTTGAACAATATTTAACTTCTTGGGGTTTGTTTCGTGACACTATATCTACACGTCGGCTCAGAAAAGTTGTTTGTTGTAAATACACACGGAATTCTCTTTGTTTGATGTTTACTTTGACATCAAACATCAGTGGCATTGTACAGCCTGAAACCTGTTTTTTCAAGGATTGTTCAGTATCTGCTAATTTTACTCGCAAGCCAAAGCGAAAAGTCAACTGGATGACGGCCTGAATCTATTTTAAAAAAAAAGAAAAAAAAGTTCACTCTTATTTTAAGACACCACTGTATTTTTTTTTTACTGCATTCTCTATGCTTGAGTCAATTGAAGGCTTTCTGTCAATTTAATTTAGCCTACTATTATTGTGGATGCAATTTGCATTGCTGTTCACTTGCACTGCATCATACCGAGAGCTGTTTCTAAAATATATAATATTAGCTGGACGAGAAGGGCCGCCGAATCAAAAGTTGTGCTTGTCGAGTGTGTTTTTTTTATTTTTGTGTGCATGCGTGCGTTGCTGAAGGCATCAACAGTGTTGCCATCGCTGACTGCGGTCGCTTGTGCAGGCAAGGGCTGCGGCGAGGCAAGAATCCTTTTTTTAACAATGTCTCCAAGGGAAAGCGCAAACGCGGATCACACAATAGAGCGCTTGGTCGGCAGCGCTGATGTTATGTGACGGATGAAAAAAAATAAAATAAAAATCACTTCCTATGACACTGAGTGCAGTCGAAATGGTATCTAAGGAGACGTATTGTGCACGGTTTCCATCTTTACATATGTGTGACGTGCAACTAATGATCAGAAACTAAGCTGTCTGTGCAGCCAACAAAACCCACTTACACTTTAGCGCAAGATCCAAACCATCATCCTACTTGAACAGCTGAACTTTATTTGGGGTTACTCAGAGGCACTTTATAAATGATGGCAGCGCTGGCTCCCATTTTGCAGGTGTTTTGAATGCAGTTGGTCAATTCTGAACAAAGACACGTCTCCAGTTTGTCACTAATTTTCTAACTGTTACTGTAACTAAGTAATCATGATGATAACTTGATGAAACAAAAGCAAAATAACCCCAGAACTATCAGCAAAAGCCTACTAGAACAGCTGAACTTGATTTTGGGTTCATCAGAGCAACCCAAAGACACATCCCGAGGGTGTAACTAATTAGATACCTGTCGCTGCAACTAAGTAATCATTAATGTAACTAAAGCAAAGTAAGAAAAAAAAAATGTGTACAAAGCCTACTAGAACAGCCAGCTTTTATTTTTCTCCACCAAAAAAAAAAAAAAAACCTTGCAAAATCTCTTGCGATGCATGTTAATGACTATCCGAGTGTCATCTTTTCTCGGCTTCCTCAGAGCCAACCGGAGATGGAGTATTCTCTTCCCGAGCTGCAGGCTCCTCGCTCCGTGGCCGACAGCCCTTGGCCTCAGGTGCACTCGCACACACAGAAGCCTCACGGTGAGCACAGACAAACACTCCTCGGCTCTCAAACTGTTGCAGAGATATTTTTATTTCACAATATGAGTTTTTTTTTTCATTGATAAAAATACTTTAATGTAAAATGTGTGGTATTTACACATATATATGCGTGTGTACATCTTGAGAAAAGATATGACTTTTTTTTTTTTTTTATGACACATTTTATTTATCTATTCAAGAAACATCAAGTTTTTTTTACTGGTAAAATGGGACTTCATTCTCATGACGTGATCAATTTAATCTTGGAAAAAAAAAATCAACTTCTTGTAATATTGTGACTTTTAAACCTTCACAATATTACAAAATTTAATGAAATATGGCAAGTTTTATTTAAAAAAAATTTTTAATTAAAACTATGACTGTTCTAATAATTGTACTTTTTTCATGAAAAACAAATTTCTTCAAATTATTTTTTATTGATTTTAATTTTAATATTTTATATTAAAATTATGAGTGTTGTCTAATTTTAGGGGGGGGGATTTATCTGATAAAAATCAAATTCATGTAAAATGACATCCTTTTGTCCATAACAAACACAATTTTCTTGTGGTGACGATGTTATTTTTTGTTGCCAGGTGCAAGGGGGCGTGGCGAGAAAGCGGGATCCAAAGCAGGAAGCAGAGGCAAACATCAGGTGCAACATGCCGACGAGAGCGTCGCCGCCGCCGCTGAGCATGACTTCCTGGGCTGCATGTCCAGGTGAGCCCAGATAGATCGGAGCAATATGTTTCTACATTAATATATTCTATGTTCTATATTATGTTGCGAATCAGGGCTGGGCAACATAAACAATGGATGGGACCCCAATTTTTTTTTTTGGGGTGCCCACATAGGACCCCAAACTTCCGAACCAGTTCCGTTTGGTTCAATTTCCTAAGAATGAAATCACCTGGATGGAACAGAATATCGCCAAACATATTCCTAACCAAATAATGACAAAAATGCCATTTTAAATAAGGACACATTATATGTATATATCTGGGTTTTTTTTTAAAGTTGAACCAATATGCTGTGGAACATGTCAATATATTTTCATTTACAAATCCGTATAATTAAAAAAAAAAAATCCACTCAATTAAAAAAAAAAAAACTGAGCAAATTCTCATGCATTTCAAACGAACTGTTAACGGTTCTGTTTGTATACTTTTGGTACCGGTGTTGTCGTGGTGACATTTTTCATGGCTGATAGCATCTCCAAGCAAATGAGGTTTGCATTTAAATTCAGTGAACACAAAATCTGCTTCCAATTTGACCATTTTCTGAATCTCCATCTTCTTGCTCACATGCAGGCGTTCAGGTCTGCCCCGATGGATTTTGGCGGCATGCCTCTTTCTGTCCATCATGGTCATGCTATGGCTCAGTTGCGCCAGTCTGGTCACCGCACCCGACCAGCACATCAAGACACAGGTACGACCGAGTTAGCCCACTCTAGTTCCCGGTACCTTAATAGCATTAAAAATGAATTTTAAAAAATGAGCTGCACTAGAAGATGGAATAATCCATTGCATGCGAAGGGAGGGGGAGACATGAAAGCATTTTGATGTGTTTTTAAGAATGTGAATAAAGTCTAAAACCATAAGAACTGCTCTAACTTTATAAATTTGTTCTTATGAAATGTTTGAAAATTTCAGCCAAATGCTAACATCCAAATCGCCCTCCATAGCAATGACGTCGCGGAAGATTTCATTGCTCTCACATCACTCCGATGACTATTTTGTTTGCAGCTGAGCATCAACGGCGACAAAGAGTTCCTGGACAACGCCCGGGCGAAGGTGAATCCGTACCACTTGAGCCCGCTGCCGGCTGTCAGCGTCAAGCGGGCGCTGGTCGAGGATAGTCAGGAGGCGGGGCCTCTGCCGGTCAAGGTCGACCTCGACAAGACGCGTGTCTAGAAGCTTTTGGGATTCCCTTCACTCAGTCACTGGATCCCCCCCCCCCGACCCCCTCCAATAAGGAGCACGACATCCTCAGAGTCATTTTATCCCATTATTATTATTATCCTCCATCACTGGATGTTATTTGACTGGAAGGCCAGTCTGAGATCTTCCATGATGTTTCGAGATTCATTGTGCACTTTCGCCCCATTCTCAGCCATGTGCATTGAAGTGGCCAGGTACGATCATCATCTTTTCTCCTGCAGAATGAACTGGCGACGTGTGACTGAAATGAGCAGAAAGTATTGTATTTATTCCCAATGACTGAAGTGCCGTGCAAAGTCATTGAGCTGCTTGTAATATACATTGTAACCTAGAGAAAGTATTATTTACCAAGGGGTATTTGCGCCGCACCGAAAAGAAAATACACATCTGACGAGAGAAAGTCATAGTTGCAATTTTGCAAGAAAAGTCAGCATTTTTTTTTTTTTTGATAAATGACATTTTGTTTATATCAGAAAAAAATCAGACTTTAAAAACAAACTTTTTCTTGAAAAATAAAAATCTTAGGCAACCGGACATAAAATTGTGACTCTACTTTTTCACACAGAGTTCCCCCCCGACCCCTTCAATTTTTTTCCCAAGCAAAAGATAAGAATTTTAAGTTTTGTTATTGTTGAGGAAAAAGTCAACTTTTTTTTTTTTTTTGGAATACAGTATAAAGTCCTACTAGTTTGAGGGGAAAAATAGACTTGGAAGAAAAATGGTCTTCTTAAAAAAAACAGACTTTATTCTCATCATATATAAAGTTTTATATAAAAAAGAAACAAAAGTATGGCTGAGGGATGGCATGGTGGTCGATGAGTTAGCATGTCTGCCTCACAGTGCAAAGTTCCAGTGTTAGATTCCTGAGTGGAGTTTCCATGTTCTCCCGATGAACTAAAAAGAGGAAAGATCAATTTTTTTTACAGCATCATTTTTTGAAGAAAAACGTCTAAAAATTATACAGCTTTTTTTCCCCTTAAAAAAAAAAAAAGACTTGACAAAATCTGATTCTGCAAAGATTTTTTTTTTGGGGGGGGTCGCGACTTCATTGTCCTAACACGATGACCTCATAATCTAGTTGTGTTTTCATGTCAGTGCGGCTCAAGTAGTCCTTGGCAATTCTTGTATAATTCTCAAAACGATGATGTTATTGCTCTTCTATTACTTCAGGAGCGGTTTGAGTACAGTTAACGTGCCATGTGCTTTCGAAGTCCACCGTAGACTGTTTTTTTTTCTCCAGATATGCTGGGGGTGCAAGACTTTTTGTTTGTTTGTCATGGAGCAGAGTTGCGCAGTGCTCGAGATTTTTCGTTTGTGCTTTTGGCTGTCATGTAGCGATCTTGGACTCCCCCAAATAGTGCATGCTGAGTCAAGCTTCAATAGTCGAATTCCGGTCCCTCCCTGAAGGCCCGCCGTAGATTTGTGTCTTTTTTTGGTCCTATTTACTGTAAACATGGCTAGAACGTGTATTATTACAAAACCAATAATTATGACGAGGAATGCCAATCTCATCAGAAGGACTTGAACAAAAGCCATTCAATCAATCAATCAATCAATACGTGAACATGGATATACAGTAGATCACCAAGATGATGATGTGAATTTACAACTATTGTATTGGTTCCTTTTTACAGCTCTGTTCATTTTCAATGAAACAATAATTGCAACGAGGAATAAAGTGTTTTCATCGACACTAGTTCTGTTGCTTGCGTTTTGTTTGGCTTAATTTTTTTTTTTAAGCATCCTCAAGAAGGGCCCCAGTGAAAAAATGAGGAGGTAAAGTGTAATGATAACGTTAGGGAAAGAAATGACACATTTCGGAAGAAGAGTTGGATTTTTTTTTTCATGAAAAATTTTAGACTTGTAAATAATAATTATAATAACATATCTTTTTATTTCGAATGTTTTTTTAAAATAAATACCCATGATGTTATGATTAAGTGACTTTAGTGTGATTTTTTTTTTCCCCCGTCGGGAAAGCAGCAGGTTCTCAAAGTTGTATTTTTTTTTTTCCAGGAAAAAAAATTGCAGTCCTTCCAGTGTAGTCGTACAAGAAACAATCCTTATCCTAAAAGTAATAAATAAGCTGTTTTTTAAAAAGGAAAAAAAAAGTGAAACACATATATTATGTATTTTGTGCAGAATAAGCTGTTTTTTTTTTTTAAGAATGGTGTTTTTTAAGGAACATAATTGTAATATTGTGAGGACAAAGTCCTGTTGTTCATGAGAAACGTGCAACTTTAAGCCACCATAATGTTTTTCATAAATACTTAATTAGTATTGCCACGCCCCCACCCCCCATAATTTTTTTAAACCAAATCTATACAGTTATACACCATATTACCAAAAGTATTTGCTCACTAATCCAAATGAGCAGACTCAGGTGTCCTAATCACTCGGCCTGGCCACAGGTGGATAAAATCAAGCACCTCGGCATGCCGACTGTTTTGCCAAACATTTGTGAAAGCTCTCAGGAGCTCAGTGAATTCCAGCGTGGAACTGCCATAGGATGCCACCTGCGCAACAAATCCAATCCTGAAATATCCTCGCCCCTAAATATTCCACAGTCCACTGTCAGCTTCTCTATTTAAAAAAAATGGAAGCATCCAAGCCATACGTCACCAAGTGAAATACAGCGGCGTAAAGCACACCGCCGCGGGACTATCGAGCGGTGCAGACGCGCGTTCCTCTGGAGCGATAAATCACGCGTTTCCATCCGGCAAATCCGATGGACGAGTCTGGATTTGGAGTTTTCCAGGAGTACGTCTCGGACTGCATTGCTCCAAGTGTGAAATTTAGTGGAGGAAGAATGATGGAGTTTTTCAGGAGTTGTTTGAAGAGGGCACCTTCCTCTTCCAACGTGACTGTGCACCAAGTTCCCTAAAAACATGGATGAGAGAGTCTGGTGCGGATGAACTGGACTGGCCTGCGCAGAGTCCTGACCTAAACCCGACCTTTGGATTTAATTCGATCGGAGACTGAGATCCAGGCCTTCTCGACCAACATCAGAGTGTGACCTCACCAAGTGGACCGACACTTTATTGACTCCTAGGGGTTAGGAATGGGATGGCAACGAACTTCTGATCTGAGTCAAGGCGGGTGAGCAAATACTTTTGGTCATTTTATGTATTTTTGTTGTATTGTTGCGACAAATAATGTATTATTTTTTAATTAAATTTGAAAAAGGCATAGTCCGACAAGTAATTACAAGTATATATTTTTTGGAAAACTATGTAATATGAGAACAGTCATACATTTTCCTGAAAAAGTGCCCCCTCCCAAAAAAGATTTGATTGATTTTCAACAATAGTTGCAAAAAACAATTTTTAAAAATTTTGTAAGAGCAAAGTCCTATTTTTCCAAGAAGTCATAAGTCAGTTTTTAACGGTGAAAAATGTTACACACGTATCACGTATATTTTGAGAATAATCCTAAAAAAAATCCTAAAAGTAGTAATTCTTGAGGAAAGACTGCTTTTTTCCCCTCCAATAATATCTCCCCTCCAATTGTAAACATTTTCGAGTAAAGTTCTGTTAAAAAAGGAAAGTATTTTTTTTTTGCATGCGTGCATGTATTGAAAGAAAGGAAACTATAGTTTGTCATTATATTCATGGCCAAGACATCTTTATCACTCAGATACTATTTTTTTCGCGTTCTTCCAGAGACGCTTTCTTTCTTGGCAACCTTTTTGTTGTAATACTCTTGTTGTCCACGTGGTGTCATCACAGACTGATAATTTCTCTCTCAAAGTCAATGTCATTCAGTGTACCTTCTCTCAACATTTATTGAACCGAGGGAAATTCTCCATTTACGGGACACCACCAAATAAAAAAAAAATGTCCCAAAAAGTATACGGTATATGAAAATATTTAATGAATGGCTGTATTCATATTAAATGTGCATAGCGCCACCTAGTGGAAGAGCAATTCATCGTTTGGCCTGTCACTCTTCGTCACTGACACAGAAACATCCATTCATCCATTGTCTAATTCGCGGTGTTCCATGAAGCTGTCACACGTGTTTTTGGAATGTGGGACGAGTACCCGGAGAAAATCCACGCAGGCACTGGGGAGAACACGCAAACTCCACACAAAGGAGTTGGAATCGAACTTGGTACCTCTGCACTGTGGAGGCGGATGTGCTAACCAGTCGCCCACTGGGCTGCTCTCAGAACATCATTTGTGTTAGCAAAAATACTTTTGCTTTCTTTATTTTGCGTTCGTGACTTAGTTGCAGTAAAGAGACAGTTACTAAATTAGTCACACGTTTGGTTACAATCATTGTTTCAGTTAGTTACAGTAACTTATCGTTACTTTTTTACAAACTAGGGATGTGGCTGTGTTCAGACTGAGTCAATCACGGTTGCTAATTTGGAGTCGGCACACAGATGCCACAATTCAATATGCTTCTGATTGACCTCAAATAATGTTCAGATGTTCAAGGAGGCTTTTCCTGGCATTTTCTTTTCTTTTAAGCAGAAGCCTGAAGTATTGTACTAAAACCGACTGCTGTTTGGAACGGGTCATAATTCCCTCCATCTGGACTTAGGCCCCAGTTGTCACATTTTGAAAACAAAATTGAATCGTATTCATGACTGCATCGTGACATGTTTACTCGTCACCCCTTAGCAGTTTGATTACCGCTGCATTATTCCGTCGGATGTGTTCAAGTGAAATGTCTAAGGTGAGCTGTTGTGGTCAGCGCGGGTCGTCGAGGGCATCTCAGGAGCACATTTCACTTTCGCGGATGCAAACGACCTCTCGCTACCTCCCTCCGTCGTTGTTCACCGGGGGGAAAAATAAACACACTTTACAGGCACACGTCACATGGGCTGAGCCGTTTATGAGCAGAGCGTGTACTTTGAACACTCGTGCTTAATCCTGCCAGCCGCAGTCAACACTCTGCCATCGTTTGCTTTTCCTGACCCTGAGGGACTCTTCTTCAGGGATGACGTCACTGTGTACCAAGCAAAAACATGGATTGATGCTACCTGGGGACAAGATGGCAGAAGACGATGGGACCTGTGAGCAGCCTGAAGCACTTCTGCGTTTGTTGCTGTTTGTTTTATGTTTCATATTTCATCCAGCCATCCAATTTCTAATCCGCTTATCCTCACGAGGGTCGCGGGGCGTGCTGGAGCCTACCTCAGCTGTCTTTGGGTGGTAGGCGGGCTACAACCTGAACTGGTTGCCAGCCAATTTTAGGGCACACAAGAGACGAACAACCATTTGTGCTAGGCACAATTTAGAGTGTTCCATTAACTTGCCATGCATGTTTTTGGAATGTGGGAGGAAACCGGAGTACCCGTAGAAAACCCACGCAGGCACAGGGAGAACGTGTAAACTCCATACGGGAAGGACGGAGCCGGAATCGAACCCTGCACCTCTGCACTGTGAGGCGAACGTGCCGCCAGTTCATATTTCAGGATTAATGATAAGAGAAGAAT